TTGGTCTTGGGTTCTTCTCGCTTGCTCTCACGACCCCGCAGTGTTGACAGGAGAAGGTGCAAAGGACCCACTGACTAACATTCGCGGGCCCCGCCCACGGAGGGCCGGAATTCGTTAATGCGACCTTTGGCCAAGCCTTGGGGCCGTACGAGCTCTCCAATAGAGCTCCAATTGGGGCGTTGGAAACCTAGGGGAACACGTTTCTCCCGTCCTTTCCTGTCTGCGCCATGAGCCCACGAGCTGCCGTAAGGAATTTTGGTCAGTAGGGGGCCTCTGCGCAGCCGAAAGGGCCTCACCCCGATTGTCCAGAGGTTCGTGAGAACACAGCTAAATGTTTTCGGCGACCAGACGGGCCGCTGAGCCTCCAGTAGACGCGCAATATCCGGATGAGCACCAACGTGACCTGGAGGACCAGTGCAAAAAACAAAGGTGCCCATTGGTTACCAGATTGGCCCTGGGCGCCCAGTGCAGCCTTAAGAGGGGGGAAAATGTGCAGCCCCCAAACAGTCAGAGGGGAAGAAACACCACTGGTCGGGGACCCGTCAATGGCCAGAGCAGCCCTCATTGGTCAGAAGGGCCCTGAACCATTAAAACGGCCCATGACCGGCCTGATATGCCCCAGGCACACAGGGCCCCAAGCGGTCAATGAGACACTTGAGTAGCCGGAGCCCATAGGTGCCCCCAATGCCCCTTGGTGTCCTGGTGGAGCTCTGAAGGCCTTGGGGGCCCTAAGTAGCTAAACAGACGCTTAAACTGTCAGTGTTCGTGGCTGCAGAAAGAGCCCACTGAACAACCCGAGAAGCACCGGGGTTTCCAAATCAGGTGTGCTGAGCACCCAGAGGAAGCAATTTTCTCCTGTCGGAACTCCTATTTTGGTAAACAATCTCTTTGAGCGTGTTTCTCATTCAGCGCGATAATTCTGTATTTGTGTCGCGCGAGCAGAAGAGCGCTCCCGTGAGGCTCATGGGGCGCTGGACAAACCTACTTTAGACGCCCCCCCCCCTCATTTTTTGGTTTTACAGGGTCCGGTGAGAGGCCGGACCCCCGACTCCACAGGATCCCAGCCATGTTTGACAGGAACACTGCTAACCTTTTCCGAGAACGTTATCGGTATGTACCACATCACGACTGAAAAGTAAATGAGATCTATCCTCATCGAAACAGTTCGGTGACATCTAGGCCTGGTGACAAATCCATGGGGCATGGTTGCTATCCTCGACCCGCAAATGAAACAATAAAAAACAAGCTCCTGGCGGCAAAAACGCCAGCTTAGTGTGAGGAGAGGATGAACTCATTGTCATGGAGTCATTTGTCACGTGCCTCTATCGACCAATCAGCCGTCAGAACCGAGCCCAGAACCGTCACACCTTTGCCAGCATGAAGAACAGCAGCCTCTTACCCAATTCAAGGAGTGCGTACTGTCCACCTTAAAACCGGAACACACGTCGACAGACGGCTGTGCGCGACTAGGAGGCGCGCCCATGTCGGCTTTTGAGAGCACGGCTCTTAACCTCGCTCACATGACGTTTGATCTTCACATCAAGTAACTGCGACATTGGGGATCCTAACAGACTTCGGGGACATGAAGAGCGAGATTTTCTGGCCCCCTAAAAGCACAGCCTAAGGACCGGATCGTGCTTGGCCAAGTGCAAAGACCTGTTATATAGAGGCAAACAAACTAGAGCAACTTTTTCAGGCAGGTATTGAAATGCTTGTTTCATACAAAGCAGTCCCTTTCCAGATGAAACAAATCTACCCTTCCCAGCGGTGTTCACGTGATGGAGAAAGGCACACGCGTTAGCGCGTCACTGTCAGCTGGCTGCCGTTACCCAAGAGCACCACCTGTGGACCATTTCCTTGCGCCCGCGCGTAGTAAGGAACCGTGCGCAATTCGGGCACGTGCAGCGAACGTGCGTTGAAGGCAGTTTATTGTGATCGCAGTGGCGGCGAGGAAGCGACCCCATCTCCAGAATAACGAAGCTCGTATCCTGTACTTAAACTAACGCACGATAGATATCGCCAAAGCGGAAGCTGGCCGAGGGCTCGATGCAGGTCGTCACCCTGGCGCGGAGCGTTCTGACCCTAGTCAGGGTACAAACGCCCGAGGCGCCGGCCTACGTCATCTCTCACGCCCTGCAGTCATTTGGCTAAAAGGACTCCGACATTCCTGATGGAAGGCTCGGCTGATGCGAGACGCTTGCTCGCCGCCACCGTGATCACAATAAACTAGCTCTAGTTCGTGTTCTCCAACTATGCAACGGCTGACGCTGCTCAGCTCGTCCGAATTATCATGTGGCTGGATATTCAGGTCCTGCCCGATGATCAATAATTGCAGCGTGCCTTGTGTCTGACTCATGCTTGCACTGTGCAATACAAATCCACTTCTCATCAGTGCCCATCAGAGCGATGAAGCGCAATGCCAGCGGCAGAACAAGTTTACTAACGGGGACGAGGGTAGGGTGTTTGACGAGCGACCGATGGGGACGACAGTCCCAAATGCAACCAGATGGTTCACTTTACTTCGAGAGGGTCAAATTTTCGTCGTGTGTGTGCTTTCTTGAAGCCTACTTTGACTGAACAAAAAACTCAGAAGCTTCCAGAAGACAAGATCTGCTAATGTTTAGAAGTTGTGAAACGCTCGTCAAAAGTCTCCATCGAATAAGCCGCCAGCGCTATCACTCTATCTTGCAAGTGTTCAGTCGGCCTGTTCTAAACCGATGATAGTCTGGAGCTTTGCCGGAATTTGCCAGGGATGATAGGTGCAGTGGAGGATTAATTATGATGATTGGAGCTTTACATCCCAACTGCCAGGTCCATGGAGGATTGAACACTACGGTGCCTATATGCAGACGAGATCAAAGTTATGTTGACATGCTCCCACCCATATCCGCCTGGGACGTCCAACCTGTCTTCAAAAGCGGCTAGTGCCAAACTAAATAAAACCGTTTGGTGCGTGCATGGTTCCCATCCCTCAGGACAAAAAACGCCGCCGACCCCCGGCGTTGCACTCTCCGCAGACAATGCGGCCTTCGCTCCCAGAGCGAACACCAGGGGAGGCCGACGGCCGGGCAGCATTTTATGCGATACCTGACATTGACGATTCCTCGGAGGCGTTGGCAGGTCTGTCTCTTTTTTGCGTTATCGATGCGGATTCCGCTTACCATCAAGTCATCGCCTGCTCAGCTGTGCTCTGTAGTGTTGCGAGACGTCAAGTGGCGGGTCTATTCCATACGGCTCTCCCTGATGAGCCAGGTCTCCCCGCCCGCCTGTCATGTCAGTTGTTCATGCGCCGCCGCTGATGCTTAGGCGCGCTGAGAGCGTCATGTATTCGCCAGACGCGTTTGATGTCTGGGAGCATGACGCTGAAAACGTCTGCCGTCACTGCCCCTGGTGCATCCTGTCGTGAGTCGTTGGGCACAAGCAGTGGTGCAGGCGGGGGGATGGGGGGGGGGGGCACAGGGATACAAGCACAACGCCCAGGCTCCGAGGTGTCCGAAGGGCCCCTCTGGACTTAAGATTCAGGGCTCGATTTGACGGCCTGAAGGGCCCGACTGGCCGGCTAGAGGTCATGTTCAGGGGCCCCTGCCGGCGGGGCCGGTCTCTCCAAATGCCAGTCAAAGGGCCCTGTGTGCTGATCAGGAGTCCCTGAGTGGATGAATGGATCCTCAAGCCTGTATGTCAGTCAGATACCACCAGTGACGTACAGTCGGCCGCGTGTCAGTATGGCCCTGAGGTTCCATTCCCCAAGCAGGGACAAAGCTGGAGCCAGCGATTTACATTGTTAGGGTCCCAGCGCCTGTCAGGGTCCACAGCGCCTAACAGAGGGCACTGTGTTGGCAATAGGCCCCGCGTCGGCCAGAGACAGTGTTCGAGGAGGCTCGAAGAGCCTAGGTCCCCGGGACCGACGGTCAAGGGCCCAATTGGAGGCCCTAAGGACACGAAGGGCTGATGAGTCCTCTTCAGGGGCCCCGGTCCGCGGGGGCGGGCCCTCAAATGAGTCAGAGTCTTTTGCGCCAATCGGAAACTTACTGAGTTTATTATAAGGGCCTGAATATCGGCCAGGTACCAGCAGTACCGGACGGCGTACGGTCGGTTCCGCGTCGGGGTGTCACATTAGTGCTATGGTAAACACTCCTACCGACAGGAGTGCTCCACGACAAAATGTATCATTCAACGGACACTGTTCACGGCTAGTTACTTGTGCACAAACGGGGGGGATTCGTCGGGAGCATGCTGCTGCATGCTCTTAGCCCGGCGAAGATTCGTCGTCAATAATTTCCGGTTCGCCAGTAAAATGGGAAGCGAAAAGACGATATTGTATGAAAAAGTAAGCGTTAGGGGTGACATGCGCGTATGCTTGCAATCAGAGCTTAGTACATCGGCAGCGCCAGGCAGTTCGGTGGAGCCCAGCATGGCCCCCTACCACGCGATGGTCGCGCCACCTATAGCGTCACCTTCCAGTGCTATCTGGCGTCAGACGGCCGTAGTCAGGCCTCGACGCCGCCGGGGCCGGAACGCGTCAGGAATTCCATGCGCAACGGCAGCGCTGCTGGGTGGGGCGCGGGCGGCGAACCCGAGCTCAGGGAGCACCGGTCGCCGAGCGGAGACACGTCGCATCACAGCGTCCACACGCGACCACATCGAGACTGTGGGGTGCGACCGGCCCGGGGGCGGTAGATCACCGGTCCAGAGGCCGCGCCCGCATCCGGCCCGGGCCGTGACTCAGTGCTGACGTCAGCGGCCGAGTCACGGCCGGCCCCGCCCAGACCGCGGCCACGCTGTGGTCACAGTCCGTCACATACGCGGCCGTCCGAGGACAAAAACATGGGACCGAGCGACGTCATTCCCCAGCACCGCAAGGCGGACCGACATAACCAGCTACGCCGTGCCAAAATCAACTTTGAATTTTCAGAAGTACCACAAGCTGCCAGGTTATGTGATACTTAACCACAGTTCATTTTCCTTTAATCGTAGTCATGGCTATGGTCATAAAAACATGGTCCATTTTAAATAAATTTATTGGTACGAAGGATCCATGGAAATATCAAAACATCCTTATTTTCATTACAATTGTGACTCATACGCATGCTACAACCAAAATAATAGCCACAGCTACTAAGCATAATCAATACACAATGCCACCGATCGACGTACCCGCCGGCCGGGCCGTTGCCGGGCGGCCGCTGCCGACGCCGGCAGACAGACGGCCGGTCGGGCCGCTACTGCCTACACCGGCAGACAGACGGCCGGTCGGGCCGCCGCTGCCCACGCCGGCAGACAGCCCATGCCGGCAAACGGACGGCCGGTCGGGCCGCTGCTACCAACACCGGCAGACAGACGGCCGGTCGGGCCGCCGCTGCCCACGCCGGCAGACAGCCCATGCCGGCAAACAGACGGCCGGTCGGGCCGCTGCTGCCAACACCAGCAGACAGACGGCCGGTCGGGCCGCCGCTGCCGACACCGGCAGACAGACGGCCGGTCGGGCCGCCGCTGCCCACGCCGGCAGACAGCCCATGCCGGCAAACAGACGGCCGGTCGGGCCGCTGCTGCCAACACCGGCAGACAGACGGCCGGTCGGGCCGCCGCTGCCCACGCCGGCAGACAGCCTATGCCGGCAAACAGACGGCCGGTCGGGCCGCCGCTGCCCACGCCGGCAGACAGACGGCCGACCGGCGGTCGGCTCCACACTCGCACTCGCACGCACGCACACCGATTACGGACACGTATATACGGGTAAACAGAGGTCCGCGGCGCCGGGCGGCAGCCGGCCGGCTGAAGCACGGCAGAGAGAGCGGGCGGAGCGGGGCGGGACACGCGCTGACGCTCGGAGGCGCCCACCAGAGACCGCCCTCACACCTGGCAGTGGCGCCCATTACAACAGCCTACACCTGGGTTTCTTCTTCTTCTTGACCTGTGGAAGCAAGGCCCAATCAGTGAATACATAAAATTCACAATGCCTAGTACCACAGTCCATACAGAGTAGTATTTCTACAATCTGAGGCACTGACGTCAATACACGGACTGTTGGCTGGCTGATTCTTTGGAGCAGTGCCAAGAGGCCCAACATGTAAACAGTCCCCCGCGAAATAATGACCCCACGCGGAGACCATACCGAATGTCGTCTGATGCCGGTGCACCAGACGGCTGAAACGCTACACGCATCACACAGGTCACAGACACCCGCACCGCGGGAGGCAGCCAGCCGTGCCATACCTGTAACGCGGCCCGCGTGGCCGTCTCGAACACCTCCCGCACGCCCTCCTTGCTCTTGGCCGAACACTCCAAATAAGCGAAGGCGTTGATCTTCTCAGCCATGGCGCGACCTTCCTCCGGTCGCACGGGCTCCTGCTTCATCTTGCTCAGCTCCTTCATGGTGTTCGGGTCGTTGCGCAGGTCCTGCGGCCGCGGCCAGACGCGGGGTCACCAGTCGGAAGCAGACACACGAGCGTCATATCCCGGCTAGTACAGAGTGAAAATGCAGCGTCGCTGGCACCACCAAAAAACATGCGAACTTGTTCTGCGAATGACTAATACAAAAGTCAGTACTGCACAACATTGAACGCAAAGTTATCAATCGCACCACCAACAACACTTCAAAGAGAACATTGGGCCAAGTTCTCAACAGCACTGTGTCTACTGCGGTCTCATCAGGACCTAAACGCCGTAAACAGAGCCAGCCAATGGCCGCTTTGAGCCTGCGCGTTTGCAACACCAGTTGGCGCGGTGCGGAGAAAGGCCGAGGGCGGCGGGCCGCGCCACTCGCCGTTCACTGGGCGGCTGGCTGGCCGGCACACCCACCTTCTTGTTGCCAACCAAGATGATGGGCACGTTCGGGCAGAAATGTTTGACCTCGGGCGTCCACTTCTCGGGGATGTTCTCCAGTGAGTCGGGTGAGTCGATGGAGAAGCACATGAGAATGACATCCGTGTCCGGGTACGAGAGCGGCCGCAGCCGGTCATAGTCCTCCTGGCCGGCCGTGTCCCACAGCGCCAGCTCCACCTGCCAGCACTGGCGCCGTTACCACCGCACGTCGAAACAGGGCCACAGCACAAAATCAAAGGCTCAAGTGGATGGTCATATGTCCGATGGGGACAAAGGTGACTGACTTTTCAAGTGTGTCTTAAAAGGCGTTTTAACCATGTAGAAAAGAAGGGACCACAGCACACAGGCTATTTGTACATTTTTTTAGTCCTCCAAGCCGATCTTTGAGCGCAATAAAGCCGACGCTCGGTATTGCAGTTTTCATATGCCGCCAGTTTCGCAGCTAACACCACATGGCGGACGAAGGGCGAGCTTAAACGACGATGCCGCAAAGAGCCATGCTTCAAAATTTCGATTTATAAACACACATGGACCTCAAGTCTATTTCGGGGAGCAGATTTTCCATGCACAATTTTTTAGTCGATCCTCCAAATTTATTGCAGTTATAGCCAGCATTCCAAAGTTTATCCAGAAGCGTGAGCAGGATGTAAATATAAGTTTACAGCACCAGAATACTAGCTCTCCGGCGGTCTTCCCTCGTAGTTCGTAGACGCTAGTCCGCCACTTTGACACCAAATGGACATCTGACCTACCAAGCCAATGTCAAACCTGAGTCACCTAGATGGTGGTATACCGCCGCCGAGTGTAATGCTGATTGGCCGATTTGCAGTCAGGCGAGGGCAACAAGTGATAAACCCCCAGCTGGGGGGTGTGATAGCACGCGGACAATAGCAGCATCCCTACCACCCAGTGACCTAACACGGAAACACTGGTTACAGTGGTACAACCAAGTGTGCTTACCCTGAAACCTGCACCTTGCCTTTCCATCTTTTCTCTTTTGACATAACGCATTGCACCAATCCCGCGTCTGCGGCGATCGCCCGGGTCGACCGATCCGCGTCCGCCGAGTTCTACGGCCCACCTGTTTGCCATCGACCTCGATGTCTGCCACATAGTTCTCGAAGACGGTGGGCACGTACACCTCGGGGAACTGGTCCTTGCTGAAAACGATCAGCAGGCAGGTCTTGCCGCAGGCGCCATCGCCCACGATCACCAGCTTCTTCCGGATGGCCGCCATGAACTCTGCAGGACACGCGGGCAGCCCGGTCAACGAGCCGGCCGCTGCCGACCGGCGGTCACGCGGCCGCGGTAGCCCCGATCCTCGCGCCGTGTCGCAGCGCGGAGTGCTCAGAGGCCGTGTGGTGCCGCGCCCAGTGTCCCCGGCGCCGGGCGCGGCAAGTGGGCGCCTCACTGCGGTGCACGCGGCCGCCGAACCCAACGGCCGCGGGCTTGCCATAAACAGCCTGTCACACCTAACAGTCCCATGGTAAACTAAACCAGACTGGGCCTGGCTGCTGCAATGTCAGGCCAATGGTGCAGGCATACACATCAGTCTGATCCCTTCAGGGCAATCCTTGCTAGCTTATCTGTTAAGGCCAAGTTGGTACAAGATGTCAGCTGATACCTCATGCCCATTGAGGAAAAGTAGAAAAATAACTATGATAAAGAACTGCAAGTTGGAACAAAAAATGGATACCTACAATTACATATGAAAACACATGTGTACAGGACATGTGAGTGCTTCAGTGGCTATTTGGCTGCATGCATATGAATGGTTACATTATGCCCCCCCCCCCCCCCCCCCCCCACTTCGAACCAATGTGATTTCTGCTTGGTGCTGCCAGCATTCAACATACACAAAACCTTAAAACAGTCATGCAGAGGTATACATGACTGGTGGTGCAACCTGCATTCTGTACTTCCTGAGTGTCAGTTTTTTCTGCCTGATAGCCCATTGCATCTGGGGACTGCTGCAGTTAGACACAACCCAACATGCAAACCACAATGCTGAACACCATGTCAAGGGCCCACCAGCAGTTTCTCTGTCACTTATTGCACCCTCCAAGTAATGGTCATTGAAGATTAAAGATTACAAAAGGCATCACATTTGACACACATATCACACAAGTGGACCTGATTCTTGGAATATCTAATGGGAAAAATACTATTTTAAAGTCAAACTGGGGTCAGAGTCCTATCTGAGCACAGCCTGTTAAATGCATAATGAGCACTGTACAATTTTTTAACATGCCATGGAAATGCACCATATGTCTGTAACAAAATGTCCTATACTGTCTTTGAATGTTTTGAGGTTGGTCCATCATGTGGGAACTGTACCTCCATGGTAATATGAGACAAACACTACATCTCCCAGTCATTAAGAGACCAGAACATTGAGCAAAATAGGATATCACCACATGGTGTGAAGCCAGCTTTTGTTTCCAAGGTGCAGTGCACATCCCTATCACATGTGCTTTTATATGTAATTGTGGTTGGTCCATTTTGTGTTCCAGTCTGCAGATCTTTATTTTCAACTTTTTCTGCTTTTCTTTACACCAGCTTTAGTTTTTTGCCAGAAAATATTTATTTTCAGCAGTGGACAACTAGACCTGTGTTTCTAACTTCCAGAATCATATAAAAGATGCATCATGATACTGCTGTATGAATCACAATAAGTTGTTAAAAAAGAGACATTCATAAGTTGTACAGCTATGCCTGCCGCCTTGGTCTGCAGCCCTGATACTTCTGTTGATGCCACATAGCTTTTTCCTAATGTGAATATGCCACTGGTACTGAATTTCCATTTTTACTGTCTCAATTATATCATCAGCAGCCAGAAGACAGGCCTCTAAGCACTCTAGTTTCAAAAAGTCATCTATTACATTCCATGCAATGAGTGAACCTTCATTACACAAGAATCAGCTTGTTGGTTCAGCATGTTAATGGTCAAACAGTCCTATAAATTGATGGTGAATGAACCCAACTTAGAACCTAACTTAGAACCTAACTTAAAACCTAGAAAGTTGTTACTTCAGCACTACCACATTAAGGTCTATCCTGCATCAAAGATCAATGTCAGACCAAATCAAAAAGGTCAACAGACCAAAGGTTAACAAATGAAATATCAATGATAGGGAGAAACAGACTCATAATGAAAAATTGCCACATAAGAACTAATAATCATCAAATTATTACCAATACCAACTGAAATCAAATAGCCACTATTATAAATTAATTAACAACACAGCTTGAACAAGCATAGTAAAAGACTTTTGCAAGACAAAAATAAGCCAGAGTCCAAGCTGAAAGCTGATAAATCTGGCAACTGCCAATGATCAACTTGTCACCTATCCATTAACTTCGCCCAAACTCTGATACACTTGGTACACCACACATCCCAACCAATAAGCAACCTAGCAGTTGACACTGCTGTCCGCTGGGACCAATCGCTGGAAGGCTCCACACATCTGCCAATCTGCCAATCACTGCCTCATCCACCATGGTGTCCCTCAGAAAAGGCATTCATGCATGCCTGGTATGGCTGGACAACTTACATTATAACCTTATCTTTGCAGTACTCAAACTGTGAACTTGATAAGTCAAGGCAACATCACTAAAGGAAGCTAATGACATTTGAAGCCTCCTGGAAATTATTCAGTTAATGTACAAGAAGGGCTGACAACTATGTGTCAACTTTCACCCAATCTTTATTTTGCTGTCAGTGCACAAAGGTGAGGTTGGACCACTGCCAATGACCTGTTAACATCAATTCTCAAACATTGCACTACAGCTCAAAAGGACCCAGGTATGAAACAGTCGTCTTTTTTAAGTCAACACGCACAATAAACAGACACAATATGTGCAAGACGACAGCAAATAACTATTTTCATTGGTTGCATCTACAATGATTCATCTTGGACAAACACGACGCAATGTTTTCCACCTTCTCTGGACTTTATACAACATCCCAGAAAACAATGGCAGAACTTGATAACACCAAGCAGATATCAAAATCCATGAAAACTTCCACGGAACAAAACACTTCCCCATGCGTACCTTAGTCCGCCCAAAAACTCGCCCACCGGACAAAATCCAATATGGCAGGCGCTGATGACCACACCTCAAAATCGCTCGACAGATGGCAGTATAGGTCATGTTACCTGACAATGAATGCATATTCCACAGCCGATGGCAGAGAATCAGACAAACCAGAAACTTGGGCAACGTTTTTAAAAAGTGCGACAGTCGTTCGGTAGGAAATTAGGTCATTGTGGCTTTTCCAGTCAGTTTTTGAAAGACAGTCCTTTTAAGTCAGACACTGGCCGGTTATCATCGTCCTATTGCCGTGATACGTAGCTTTTCCAAGCAAGTCAAACTCTGATTGGTGCAATGACATGAAAGGGGCCATTCGACTCAGCGTGAGATCTTTCGCCATCTTCGTCTTATTTCATGGCATAACTACGCCCACAGTTCCACATTGCACTATCAATTGTCAGTTACTTCGATGCTGCAGTGATTCGAGCAGACCAAGCAATATATGAACAACAAGTATGGACTCAACGTATCTGGTTTCGGAACCCGAGCTTCCAATATTTCGCCAATATATTGCCAATGACCGGTTCCATTTGTCATTATGTCTGAGGAATTTCACCGGCATACCCAAATGCCCATGCCATAACTATATCCCATTGCATATCATTTCATTTGTTACATTCCATCCCACCCATCGACTCCCAATGCCCAGAATGATAAAATGTATTGTATTGAACCCCTAATTTATTCATGCAGTATGGCTTTTCAGTATTGCCGTCATATTGCATAAGGTTTGAAATAAGGGGTCACGAAGTAAGGCAAACATGCATGAGGATGAAATAGGGACGGCAGTTGTAGGAACGGTGCACAGGCACATAAACATTGTAATTAAAAGTCAGTGCAGCATTTGCGAAGGGCCAATACAAACAAGCACAACGCGAGCGGTTGTCAGGCCTCCAGTCCTCTTAGCGGCGCACGAAACGCGGACACCGTCGGCCGCTCAGTGATGGCCTGAGGCAGCTGGTTCATCGAGGGGCAGCACGTTAGCGAACACGGTACGGCATGGTAGCACGGTGAGATTTATGCTAGGTCCGATCTCGAAACTGGCCATTAGCTGTCTAATGCGTCCACATCACGATGTGATAGGCCACGTCATGTATACGGCCTGTGAGCGTTTTGAAATTGCTACACACGCTCCGGACATTTATGGAATGATACACGGCGACGTAGATATATTTTTAGGGTGTAGCCGGCTTAGGTCATTTGCTCACCACCAGAGGTGTACTTACCTATTCAGTTGGATTGCCTCCAGCCATTTGTTGGGGTATTGTGCAGGTGAGTTGCACGATATCTCACTGCTCAGCCCCCCCCCCCCCCACACCCATTTTGTGAAAATATAACCTTACTCACCACGCTCACGCTCCGATACACTGATTACAATTTCCACTGAGGTATGGTTGCTAGGTTGACAAAGATAAATGACGTGACGAGAATGAGATTTGACTTTGTGGGTGGACTTCCATCTCAACGAATTTGATTCAAATTATGCCATGTCTTTTTCAGCTCAACTTGTAAGCTTTGGCGGGACTGGATTTTAATGCAAACACAAGTCTGAGTAAGCCCTTCTTCCTCTGAAATATTCTCCGTCATGGTATTTGTGATATGAAAATCTGTATCGGAACAAAGAAAAAGTAAAATGTATTTTGTACAAAACGAAACCATGCTGAATGATTTTACGTCATCTAACGACATGGCTCACGCCTTGTGCTCCCAAATTCGACTTACTCATTCTAAATCTTAGAGACCTCAATTGCGCGATCACGGTATGGCTAACACACCGTTTAATCGAACACTACGTAACCATCATAAATCTTTCAATTCTTCAAAGCAATTTACGGCATAGCTCACGGAGAGACCAATTGGAAACGCAAAACATTGCTGTTCTCTGCGCATGTGTCAACTACGCTGGGTAGTGGATTATTCGCAAACGGCCACATCGCGACGAGGTAAAACACGATTTGCCATACTGCAATGAAGAATCTACGTGTTTTGTTATGCAGAAATTGCTGGATCGTACCTCCTCTATAAATCACATAAGGGAACCGCTCACGGGACCGGTCCGTATAAGGACGCATCATGGGTAATGGCATCACTCCACTCAGAGGTATTACTTTTTATCCCACCGCTGCCACCAAATGCCATAGCGAAGCATGGGAGCCGGAGCTGCGGGTCGAAAGGCTGGGGGAGGGGATCTGAACCTGGCTTATTGGAACAGTGATCACTGGCCTTGTGTGCGGAGGCCTGCCCAGAAAAGGGGTCGAGGCCATTGACCCGTGTGGGCGTGCTGCGCGGCCGAAGTACCGTTCAGGCGGCCCCGCACCTCATTCAGGCCACTAATTCCTGAAATGGCGGTCTGAGCGACTTGGAGTTACGCACCATAGCAGACATGTGATCCCCTGTTGGGCACTGTGGGCTTCCTGGCAGATGCAGACCCCCACAACATAGAATCGGCGACTTTTGGCACGCGTAGCGACCCGAACAACAAAGATTTTGTATGACGTCACGTATACTATTTGGCTACCGCGTTTTATAGTTTCCTTTGCTTAATCGCAATGAGGAAGGTTTGGTGCAGCAGGGGTTATTATAATCAATCCAATTTACGTGCTCTGGACTAGTGCCATTTTCATGAAAATGCGTATTATGTGTTACAAACGGCGTTGTTTGCAGGTTCTATTTTAGAAGTCCGCGTAGTGCGTTTAAACGTAAATAATAGTGCTTCCATGCGCGGTCATTGTCACGATCGCAACGAACAAACATTCTTAATGCGTTGCAAATACATCCCTTAAGCCTGCCATTCGCGATATCCTGCCTCCTGATGATACGGTGCCGACTATTTGGCCTTTGCAGACTCTGGTCCGCAAAGGGCCCCTCAAATTGTGTCTGGGGAAGCTTGCTGCGGGAGGGCCTCTAAATGGAATTCAAGGACCTCTATCAGCATGACCGGGTTTCGTTAATATGACCTCAGCCCTTGGGGCTCTTAGTGCACCTCAGTCGGACAATTATCTTCTGCCCAGGAGCCTTTCGACTCCTCGAGACCTACGGGAAGGCATAAAACCCTACGCTGTACCTGCGCCCCTAGGCTCACGAGCAGCAGAGACGAAGGTCCGCGCTGTGTATTGGTCGGGGCCCCTGCAACAATGTGTCTTGCGCGCTTGGCTTGGCTTGTGACCTGGGGACATCTCGTGGGTTATGACGTAACTATTGATTGCGATGACTGGCCGGCCAGGTGGCAGCATCAACCGGCGGCGTTGTATAAGAGAGCGGCGAGCCCACGTGCACGGAAGGGTGGGGGAGGTTGAGCGTTCGGGGTTGAGGCGCTGAGCTACGCGCCCTGTTCCTAAATAGATACGGAGTTGAAATGTACGAATACGAAGACTGCTTGCATTTATTATTGCTACTCGCTCATCGCGGAATACGGCAATGCAAGCTGAATGTTTCGTGGTGTCAGAATAGCCACGAACCCGAATTTTTGCCCGTTGCGTGAATTTAACGCTTCGGTGCCATCTTTGACCTCTGAATGGCGGTAATGGTGTCCGAGTGGGCTTATTACACCATGGCATCCGAGATTTCAAAGAAGCCGCCGGTAGTGCAAATAGCTTTACTGTGCGGGAAGGGGAGTACAGGAAGTCGCATCTCGTTTTCCTGACTTGCAGGGAGCGGATGGTCTAGCCGCTGTTGTTCAAACTGTTCGAGACGTTCTGCGTTCCGCAACAAAATGCGACAATAAAACGTCATCATTTCTACAGTCACAACCAGCAGCCTGGAGGAACGTGACAGCAGTTTGTGTCCTCACTGAGGTCCCCGGCTTTCCCGATGGAGACAGGATGATCAGGGATCGACTCGGCTTGGGAGTACGAGAACGTCGGGTGCAACAAGCGCTTCTGAAAAGTCTGAGCTCACGCTCGCCTTCGTAATGGCCATTTCCCTCGCCGAAGAGACAGCAAGACACAGTGTTATGGCGATGGGCGTAGAACAGTAGCCCCGTCACCGCAGCCGCGGAGGAGGGCTGTGCTATGCTGTCAGGCCCCTCTCGCCTGTGCAAGTTTTGTTGGAGGCGCCACGTCATGAACAGACGGTTGTGCCCGGCGTGGGGAAGAAGAGCGTTTGACGGGCGAAGGCGGTAACCAGTTCGCGTGGACTCCTGTTTGTCCCCACCGTGATGCAGCCGACCGAGAGCCGCCCGAGCCGCCCGGCTGCTGCCGCTGCCGCCCGCCGGCCGACGACAGCTCCGCCGCCTGGTCGGTGGCAGCTGCGGGAACCAGCACACAGCCGAGGTGACGGGTTCGGCGGGTGCCAAGGTGCCACCTTGCCGGCGACCGATGATGGCTTTCCAACGGCTGGGGGCAAGTCGAGCAGCTTCTAAAGCCCTGCGCTGACGGAGGTCATTGGACAACTGCGGCGGGGATGGTCGAAGCACACTTGCCCCTTGTCGGTCACTGAGGGCATTTCACCCCGTTCCGCGAGGAGCTGGCAACACGAGACGGTTTGTCGTATAAAGAACGGTGTCTGATCATTCTGTGGTCCCAGCAGCGAGACATTGTCCCTAGATTCCACAGTACTCATATCGGCGTGACGTCAATCCTCCGATTGGCGCGGCCAATTGTGTTGTGGATTTGAATGTACGGCACGATCAGACAGGCTATCCTCAGTTGTCCGGTCTGTTCGGCATAGTGGCCTGCGCAGGTGCCTGAACCGCTGCTCCCACACAAAACTCGCGAATAGACCGTGGGAAATGCAGCAGTGGATCTGTTCGAACGGCGTAGCTCCGTGCGCATGCTGCTCGCGGGACTATTACACCAATTGTGTGCAGGTTGAACAAACCCGTTGCTAGCTTCACGGCGTCCTAGATCATAGCTGCTTTAACCTCTCAGCTCGCACGCTATGGTCTGCCAGAGACACTGGTAAGCAACAATGGGGCCCCCAGTCAACAGTGGCCGGCTCCGTACATTCACCGTTATAGGGTCTTGCATTCACCCAGATGCAGAAGATCCAGGTAACCGTGCATTCACCAAAGACCTCGACATTCCCCACGACATTCCCCACG